ATATATGAAAAATTGGATCATTGGATGAATGAAATTCGAAACAATGGGCAAACAGAATTTGTTGCACAGATTAAAAATGCCGATGAAACACTAGGAAAGTTTTCATTATCCACACAATCACATCTCCAAACGCATTGTGATGCAATATATACCAGCAGACGATTTAACCCTCTAAATATTGATTCTGACATGCTGCCTAATCAGATAGGTAATCATCATGTTTATCTATTTTTAGCATTGTAATCTTCAAATTTTTTAAAATCATGTATGCTACCGTATTAAAGATAATAATAATGAACCAAACAAAAGCGAATTTATCATCTCACAAGTTACTGATATACTGTCTCATCTAAGTAATTATAACGTTATTTGATCTACTTTCAATATTGTTATTTTAAATTGCCTAACAGTTATTATGTAATAAATTTTAAGATAACCACGCTGAACCAAAGGATGATGAAAGTTTACTAATTATAATTCATTAACTGCCTCAAAGACCACAGATATGCAGTTTAATCATCTAAGTAATTATCATTTTAATTTTAATATTATTCATTTTTTGAAACTTAATTATCATCATACTACTGATAATAATTATAATGCATCAATTATCAATTAAAAGATAACTACGGTGAATCAAAGAATAAAGAAAATTCAAATTCACACCCCCTGCTGATTACTGACAATCAGTCTAATCAACTAAGTAATTATCATTTTATTACAATATTATTTCAAACGTATTTACTAAAAATTATAATTATTATTCCCATTAATTAAAGATATTGACGAAGAACTAATTGACGAAGAACTAAAAAATAGTGAGATCATCTCACAAACTGAAGTTGAAACAAATAAACATAACCAAGAATCTATTGAAATAGTTAATGCTGATGAAATTTGTGATATTGGCTTTTGTTATATGAATGGAATAGGTGTTGATAAGGATGAACGTAAAGCATTTACTTATTTTCAAAAATCATCAGAGATGGGAAGTTCTAATGGAGCATATCAAGTTGGCTATTGTTATTTAAATGGAATTGGAGTTAAAAAAAATGATCATATGGCATTTACACATTATCAAAAATCTGCCAAAATGGGTGATTCTAGTGGAATGTTTCAAGTTGGTGATTGTTTTGAAAATGGGGTTGGGACTGAAAAAGATGATCATAAAGCTTTCGTTAGTTATCTAAAATCTGGTGAAATGGGATTGGCTAATGGAGCTTATCAGGCTGCTTGTTGTTATCTTGAAGGAATTGGAACTAAAAAAGACGAAAATGAGGCATTTAATTATTTTCAAAAATCCGCTGAAATGGGGTTTCCTGACGGGATATTTAGTACGGGTCATTGTTATCGAAATGGAATTGGTGTTAAAAAAGATGTCCATAAGGCATTTAATTATTTTAAAAAATCTGCTGAAATGGGAAATGCAGATGGTGTATTTCAAGTTGGTTGTTATGATGAAAATGGGATTGGTGTTGAAAAGGATGAACAGCAAGCATTTTTATATTATCAAAAATCTTCTGACATGGGAAATGCTTCTGCAACAAATCAAATTGGTCATTATTACCGAAATGGTACTGAGT